AAGGAACTTGGACCCACTGCATTGACGCTCTCTTTTGAACTCCGGCCAAAGATCATTGGAAGATCACCCCTCAAAACGGCCATCAGCGGACGCTTCTGGCTTTCGGAGGGGACTGCTGCCATTACAGACTCATCTACAGATCGTTCCACACCACCCCCGGTGGCAATGGGAACCCCGCCGGCGTGGTTGCCACAGGTGCTCGGACTGGCGGCGGGCCTCGAGGAAGAGGCGGCGGCGTCTGCTGCATCATGGCCGGGATCTCCATTGAACCGCTCGCTGGCTCCGGAGGCGCTTGGTGCATAGCCGTCCACTCTGGAAGTGGAGGAGGAGGCGGCACCGGCAGCTCCATAGGCGGCTCCGTGCCCTGCATCCCTTCCGACCTGTAGGTGATCTCGTCCGACAGGGGAACCAAAGAGCGTGTCCGCACCTCGAAGAAGCCGGCTGCCACCGATATGCTGAGCAGAGGAAACTCTGCACTGAACTCGGCCGTGCTCTGGCGACTCTCGAGATGCCCCGCAAATGCCCTGGCGTACCTGGTCATCCCCGCATGAGCTTCCCCGTGCTGCGCCACGGTCCTTAGCTCCGGCGTCTGCGTCTCCTGGTCCACCATCTCCGGCTTGCCCTTGTCCTTGGACCCTGACCCTGAGCCGTGCTTCTTTCCCCGATTCCTCGGGTATGGCCTCCAATGTTTCCCCACGGGCTTGTTCTTCACCATCGCGCCCTTCCTGGGTCGGAGAGCCACTTTCGGCATGGCCTTGGTCGCCGGATACTTCGGCATTCTCTTCACCTTTGGCTTCACCCTTCCGACGCTGCCCTTGGCTGCTTTGGCTGCTCCCTGGTCCTCGGTCTTCTCGGCGCTGTCCATCTCCTGAGACCGAACAGTTTCCCCCGACGTTGAAGCATAATCCGTTGCCAGCTGCGCAAGCAGAGGCGGCACCGGATGAAAGGCTTGAGGACCCGGCTTCAGGCGAACCCCCTCTGTCCCCATCACACTTGGCAACCCTGGCTCCAACAGACCCTCGACCCTGGGACGCGGCACCTGACCCTGCAACCCCTGACCCTCGCTCGACTGAGATCCCTGACCCTCGCGGTCCTGGCCCTCTCCCAGCATCTCTGGGCGGCGCCACGTTGGAACCTCCTCTTCCGAGCTGCTGCTCATCTTGCACCGCAGCAGACAGGAGCTGAAAACGCAGGCGGGTGCTCTCGGGCACAAAACGGCTTGCAGACAACCAGAAACAGTTCTGAAAACTCTCTACGTACAGCTTGCATCCGGGCTTCCCTCGCGAGCTGGGACCCAAAACCCGAACCTTGCTGAAATCTACATCCCAACCTTTCTTCAAAAGGAGGCCCAGAGACAGAAGGCTATACCGCACAGGTGCGATTAAAGCTTCAAAAGTCACCGGCACTGAACCTGAAGGAGGAGATCCGTTGCTCGAGGCCAAGGCCAACCTAACCCTAACCCTAGCACGCCTTCTAATCTGAATGTCCTCCCCGGTTGCCGTGACACAGCCAACACCGCTATCACCCAATGCTTCCAAAAACTCTGCAGACCCACTGGAAAACATGCTCTCAGCAATCAGATGCACAGAGGCTCCTGAGTCGAGCAAGACATGGTCCACCTCCTCTCCATGGGCGGCGGCGCGGGCAACTGCAGAAACATGATGCACATGAGGAAGCATGCTGTTGTTGTGTTGGGTGTTCTCGGTGCTGCTGGCTACTGCTGCTACGTGCTGTACAGGACCCTCGCTGGCACGCGGAAACCCTGGACCCTCATCACGCAAACCCTGGTCGCCGGAACCCTGGTCTTCCACCACAGGCTCTTCCAAAACACTGTTCTGAAAATTCTCCCAATCACAATCGGAAAAATCAAGCGACGTCTCGGAGAAACTGTCTTCCTCCCTATCATGAATCACGTGATGCACAGCGGCGCACAACTCCGGCTCCATCAAAACCGTGGCTGCCCTGTTGTTCTGATCCTTCCCTTGGTTTCCCTTACCCTGCTTCCCTGCAGCACTCTGAGCCTGAGCAACCAAAGGACAATCCCTTGCAAAGTGGCCGACCTCTTGGCAAACATAACACTTCTTCTGCGTGCCGTTCCCTGGGGGCGGTGTCACCGCCGCTCCTTGGTCCTTTCCTTTGCCACCCTTCGGGGTTTCCTTCCCATTGCTCTTTTTGTCCTTGCCTTCTTTCTGGTCCTTTCCTTTTCCTTTCTTTCCTTCCTTTCCTTTGTCCTTTCCTTTTCCTTTGTCCTTTCCTTTGTCCTTTCCTTTTCCTTTCTCCTTCTCAAACTGAAGCTGATTTGCATGATCCCCCTTCCCGCCAGGCTTCTCCTGGAACATCAAGATCTTCAAATTCGCATCATAAAACTTGAGTGCGGTCTCCAACTGATCAATAGAATCAATCTTGGCATGAAGCAAGACATACTTCTTCACTTCGGTATCCAGATTCCTAAGCATTACCATGCACCTGTCTGCCTCGGTCAACCCTAAGTCCCCAAACGCTGCCGTGAGTCGCTGGTACTTGGCCAGCTCAACCTGCACACAGCGAAAGACCTCGAGGGGCCTCACAGAACCCTTGGGCACAGTGAACTTCAGGATCTCTTCCCTCAGCGAACTAGCTTCTATCCTGCTACACACACTGAGCTCAGAATGGAGTCGCCTCATAGCTTCATATCCCGCAGGTGCGCCAAGCTGCTCCTTCTCAACCTGCTTCAAAACATCGAGACCCCTTGGGTAGGCCCCAAAACTCTGACGCAGATAAAGGAAAACCCTCGTGCTTCTCACGCTCTCACCCCTCGACAAACTGCTGTTCTGGATGGTGCTGTCCTTGGTCATATAGGCTTGAATCTCCCCTGGGATACGGTCATCAAACAACGCTAGCCATGGAAGGAAAACTTCCAGGTACTCAACCCAGGTCTCAATCTCAGCCCTTCTGCCCTTTGCCATCCTAGTTCCATCCAAAGAAGGCAGCTTCGGGATGTAAGCTTCAGCCTTGGGGTTCCTTATAGGAGCACAACATCCATGGAAGAACCAGAGATGTCGGACAGGCTTCCATTCCCTTTTCCCTTGGTCTCCCTCTGGCTTTCCCTTGACACCAAACCCTCAACTAGCGTGACCATTTGGCTGATCTGCTTCTGCTGCTCCTGCACCGTATGCATCAACAGCGTTTCCATGTGTGAAGGCGCCGCGCCCTGAGCGCTCGGCACTGGTGACGGTACTAACCCCGGTGAACCGTAAAGGAGCCAGTAGGAGGAACCGGAGTTCCAGGCAGTGACCCCGCAGGAGACCCTGTTGGGTGGAACCCTGGTGGCGACCCTGCAGCGGAAAAGTGGGATATTGGACTGTAAGCAGGTCCAAACCCCGCTCCTCTAGGAACCGAAGAAGGTCTCGCTCGTCTCTCCGGGTATGGCATATCAGAGCCACGACTCGAACGCCAGACAACTCCAGGGGCATCATCATCCCTAGTCATGTCATAAAACGACGGTCTTCCTCGCCCTTCCATGCTTCACCAACGCAGCGAAAACCCTCAACTCAGTAGTAAAACTTGCGTATTGGGCTCACTTCTCTCAAAGCGGTCAAGCGTGCGTCCCTGAGGATCAAACACGCTCCGCTACCACGAAAAAGAACGAAACTACAACAAGCCCCAGCAAAACCCCTTACCAAGCACAACACTCGGACAGAGACCTTCGTTTTGCTGCACTCCACGATGTAGGAGCAGGGCTTGAAACCGCAGGAGCGCGTGTTGGTCGGTCGGTCGCTTCGTCTTACCTGAGCCCAGTCTTGCTCTGAAGGCCAGTAGAATGTAAACGTATATCCTCTATTTGGGAGGATATGGTGGGCGTCCGGCTCATCTGTAGAAACCTGAACAGTTCTCGGCTAGTTTCCTGACACTGTGTGAGGGACTCTTTTTTCTTTAAAGCCGTAGGTCCTGTAGGTTTTCCCTGTTTTCGGACGTTCTGAGGAGCTTTGGTAGTACCAGGGTGCTTTTGGCCCATGGGAAGTTGTTTAGAGAGCTCCGAGCCACCTTTGGGTAGTTTGCACCTCGGTTTGCTGGAAGACTTTGTGCCGACTTGGCTCAAGACTGGAACTGCGTACAGGGTGAGACGGGACAACAGAACTTCACGCTTCTCTTCTAAACCAACTGTACGGAACCATCAGTAGAATCAGGCTCAACGTAGGTACAGCTTTCAACCAGACAATTCTGTCTCAAAGCGCAGACCACCCGGAGGATAGGCTGGGATCATAGTTATAGTGAAAGATCCTGAAGCCTAAAGACTGCAAGATGCCTGAGCTAGGATGCTTATCGAATTGGGAGCAATGTATGCTTTCAGCTGCATTCGAATCTCTCTGTAAGTTCCCCCCCCCGCTTCGAAACAAGGGAACCAAAGCTCCAAGCAACCCGTTCCTGTTATCTCCATAGTCTGGACAATTGCGACACTTACAAAGAGAGGCTCAACCTCAAGCTCACGGATCAGCTTAGCAGTCACTCCAAGCATGTCTTGCGAAACAGGTGAACACTCCCACCGCTATCAATCAGGAGATACGAGGGATCGTCCCAAGTGACTCCAGGAAGTAGCAGCAACTCGGAGTCTGGAATCCATTTTGTAGAAAACCAGTGCTCCTAGTAGTGTTCAGGTGCCTTGTTTTTGTAGTGCTTGGAAGCTTTTAAGAGGTGCCACGACTACTGTCGTTTGGCTCAGGACACGTGAGACCAGTAGTGAGCTGTGCGTGCTAAAAGTGTGAACTGTCCAAGTGTTTTGTGAGCTTGCTTTGCTTGCAAGGGTGCTTGGAACTTGTTTGCCTTAAACCTGAAGAGCTGTTCGCCTTCTGGGTTTTCAACGTGGTAGCGGAGCGTGGTGAACGCTCGTTGCCTTGCAACCAAAAGAAAGAGCCCAACACGTTGACTTGAGGCGTTGCTTGCTTGGTTGTGCTTGTGAGAAATGGAAGGCCGTGGCAAGCCAAGCTTATTTCAACATCGGTGATGGGCCAGGTGAGCCTGGTATGATCCGAAGGAATAGCAGGTCAGACGCTGCACCGCCTTACCAGAGGCCAAGAGCGAGCAGTGTGCCTCAGGGTGCTGCCTTTAGTCCGGTGTCGAACTTGTCGGCTCTGGAACGGGGTATGCATCCAACCGGAAGCCTGTGGTGGGAAGCCCAGCTGGCTCGCCGAACCCTCTTGGAGGTGCGTTGCCACCCCCACCAGGTTTGCCAGAGTTTGGCGGAGTTTCGCCAGTGAGTGCACCACCACCGCCCACCGTGGAGACGTTTCTTTACCAGACGGTGCAGCAGCAGCAGCAGCAAGTTGCTCAGCTTACGTCTCTAGTTCAGGCTCTTGTGAGCAGGGAAGTGCCTGCGCCACCTACTGCGAGAGGCAAGGGCCACGGTGGGGAGCTTAGCTCCATCTCCGATTCGTCGGGGAAGATGGAGGTTGATGAGGGAGGTGCTCCCATCAGGAATCCCAAAGCTGAAGCTTATGTTCCTAAGTTGCCTGCAATTGATGGTGGAAAGATGAGCAAAGGCCGTCGCTCGGAGATCGAAGGATGGGCTGAGTTCCTAGAGCAATTCTTGCCGTGGATCGCCCTCTTTGATGATAGGATCCCGGAAGAGCTTCATCGGTCGATTGCCTCTGAGGTCACCATCAAGCAGTCATCGCTTGAAAAGGGACAGAGCGTGCGTTCAACTAGGACCTTCTTGTACCTGAAGCAAGCGTTGCAAGGGTTTGCTCATGGGCTTGACTTGGTTAAACAAGTGGAGAAGGAGCAGCTTGGCTCCCCAGCTGGGTACGAGTGCATGAGGAGGTTGCATCAGGAGTTGTCTGTTGCGAGCCGCATCGAGGCTTCGACGCTTCGGAATGAGGCCTTGCAGTACCGCGCGAGCACTCCTGCCAATCGCCCACTTGACATGTTTCGGAACATCCAGTTGGAGCTTGCCAAGTTTACCCGCTTGACCGCAGGGTTCCCAGATCTTGCGTTGAGTGAGGCAGATCGTTGCATGATTGTTTTGAGAAACCTTGACGTTGAAGTGAAGAAGTATGTTCTTTTGCATGCTAGGGTTGACTCCATTGATCAGCTTGAAACCGCTTTGAAGTTTTATGATGCCAATCTTAAGATCCTGAATTTCCAAGAGAAGGAAGGAAAGGGAGCAGCAAAGGACCACGCGAATGCTTTGACCTTCGAAGACAAGGGAAAGGGCAAGAAGGGTGACAAAGGAAAGGAAGGAAAAGGAAAGGACAAAGGAAAGGACAACAAGAAAGGGAAGGAGAAAGGAAAGGAAGGAAAAGGGAAAGGTGGAAAGGACAAAGGCAAGGACAAAGGGAAGACCGCAGCCGCAAAGGACGGCAAGCAAGGTTCTGGGAGCGACAAGGACAAGGAGAAGGAGAAAGCAGAGCGCTTGAAGAACGTCAAGTGCTACAACTGTGACCAGTTCGGGCACTACTCGAATAAGTGTCCCAAGCCCAAGAGGGAAAGAGCATCAGCAGCTGCGTTGCTCGAGCCGCAGGTTGCGGCTGCCTCTTTGGAGCCTCAGATTTTCGCAGCTGCGGTTGATCTGAGTTGTCCGGTTGTTGAGCTTGATGAGGAGGATTGCTCGGATTTTTCCCAGGAGGATTGGGAGGAGTTCGTTGCATCTTATGAGTGTGCTTGGTCGGAGCCTGTTGTGCTTGAAGGCGGTGAGCCGGTTGCGCTTGAGGGTTCCATGTTGCATGTTGCGCTTGAAAATTTTCCTTGTGACAGCCCAAACAGAGCCACAGTTGAGCTTGCAGAGTCCCGCGGTGTCCCAAACAGAACCACAGTCGAGCTTGCAGAGTCCCACCAGGTCCCAGACAGAACCACAGTCGAGCTTGCAGAGTCCCCAGAGTTGAGCTTGGAAGCAGGTCGTTTTGTTGCAGGTTTTCAAAATGGCGTTGAGCATGGCATGTTGCATGTGGTAGGTAGACCTGACCATGGCATGGTAGCGCACGAGACAGCAGCAGCCAGCCAGCAGCATGACACCATGGACTGGTGGCTCGTCGACTCCGGCGCGTCAGCCCACATCATCAACGAGGACACTTTGAGCCGGGTGCACGTTGTGAGCCACAGTGAGTCTGCCAGTGAGTGTGTTTCTGCAACGGGTGACAGCATTGGAGTTCGGAGGTCTGCGGTTGTCAGGGTTCCTTTCATTTTGGTTTCAGGCGAGACGGTGGTAACAGAACTCCAAGTGCTTGTTGCTCCTGTGAAGTTTAACCTGCTGTCCCTAGGGCGTTTGCTGGGCAAGAGCTGGGTTGTGGATTTCCTGCCAAGTTTTAAAGTTGAGGCCGCTGGGTACGTTCTTCGCACGAGATGGGTCTCCAATTGCGGATGGGTTTTCTCGAGTGCTGTTGAGCTTGACCGTTCCGTTGCAGTTGCCGCCCGAGCGAGCTTGAAGCGTAGTGACGGCTGTGCTCCTTCATCTGGGAAGCCTTCTAAGAAGGATGGGGAGGAGCAACCGGGCACCCGAGGAGTCTTCTTCCGACTCGGAGCAGGAGTGGCGCCTTTCGGGTCGCCGTCACCTGGCGGAGCAGCACGCGGCGACTGTTACGAGGACGCACGAGGATTTCGAGGGATCCACGGTCGCCTTTACGACAACCTCCATATTGGGTCTCACACCGGGCCAGAACCTGCTGTTGGTGCCAGCCGCGGAAGTGAAGAAGAAGACGGCAGAGCAGGCAAAGGCAGCTGCGAAAGCAGCGGCGGAGAAATTCGTGAAGGAGCGCCAGGAGAGCGCCCAGTGGGCCAAAGAAGCAGAGGAAGCAAAGAAGAAGAGAGCAGCCAAAGCCGCAGAGGCCAAGAAGAAGGCAGCCGACGCGGAGAAGTTGATCAACGAGGCCACGGAGGCAAAGAAGAGAGCAGCCGAGGCAGTGGAGTTGGTCAGCGATTCCCCGGAGGGGAAGAAGAAAGCAGCCGAGGCAGAGAAGTTGGTCGACGAGGCCACGGAGGCAAAGAAGAAAGCAGCCGAGGCGGAGAAGTTGGCCAGCAGAGCCGCGGAGGCAAAGAAGAAGGCAGCCACAGAGGCCGCGGAGGCAGAGAAGAAGGCAGCCACAGAGGCCAAGAAGAGGGTCGCCGAAGCGGCCGAGGTCACAGAGGCCAAGAAGCCCAAGGGCAGTGTGGCCAGAGCAAGGGCGGAGCCGTCTTCGGGGTCGAAGGACCCACCGCAGCCAGTGGTGAAAAGGCAGCCCAAGCCGCCCATGGTGAAGGCAATGCCAGCCAAGGTCCGAAAGATCGTCTTGAAGAGCCGGGCCCAGCGCGGGATCCCCGGGCAGACCGAGACTGCGCTGAGAATGCTTTCGCAGCGAGCCAAGGAGAAGAAGAAGCAGGGCTACCTCATGAAGGCCATCAACAACGCCATGAAGAAAAAGGCCGAGGAGCAGAAGGGCGCGCCGGTCAGAAGAACCTGGGAGAAGCATGTCAAGGACCACTATGCTCAGATCAGGGGGCTGGAGATCCCGTTGGTGGAGGTGACGATTTCCGAAATCATCAAGGAGCCTCGTGGACCACCGGGATCGCCAACGGTGCCGCAGCCGAAGACCCCTCCAGCGCGAGCAGCAAGGGCCCCGGAGGTCAAGGTGGAGGGTGCGCGTGCAGCAAAGGTGCCGGAGGTCATCAAGGTGGAGGGCATGGAGATCAATCCACCACCACCGGTACCACCGAGGAGGAGGCTTCCCACGCCGCCGACGGACCCGAGGTCAGCCGGATGAGGGCCTTTGCGCCCTCAGAGTGGTCACCTGTGTCCAGTCTGCCGCCATGGTCACCAGTGTCCAGCGTGCCGGTGGATGCCAGGGCCAGGGAAACCCCAGCCGAGACGAGAGCCGAGGAGCCCCCAGCAGAGAGGAGAGCCGAGGAGCTGCACATCGGGGACGACGGCAAGATCTACAACTCGCGGGGCGAGGTGGTGGAGCTCGAGAGCATCGAGATAGAGTGAGCCACGGCGGTGCACAAGGATCCTCCAAGGACGCCCGCCAATCTTCCGAGGACGCCCACCATCCAGGAATATCCGATGGTCCTTCTTCCTTGGGACTCTCGCTTCTGATGCAAGAAAAGGTTGCTTTTGCATGTGAGCATGATGTTGCAGTTGAGCTTGGTGAGCATGCATGTGTTGGTGGTTTGGGTGAGCATGATTTGCAGCATGGTGAGTTGCTTGAGCATGTTGGCCAGGACCGACCACAGCGTGACCGGAGCGAGGCCCATGATAGCCAGAGTGAAGCATGGTTGCTTAGAGGGGATCGGGAACTGTTGTTGCAGGAGAGCTGGGGTAAGCTAGAGCGAGAACATGTTCTTAGATCGCATGTGCCGTACAATGCGTCTTGCCCGCAATGCGTGCAAGGTCGTGGGCTTGAACCCGCCAGAAGCCAGGATCGGCCCCAGGACTCAGGGATGAGAGAGGTGCAAATAGATAAGTTTTTCTATAAGGGCCTCGCGTTCCTGGTGTTGGTTTTGGTTGGTGCCTTTGCCCTCGGTGTGGTTCCGTACCGTGAGGTGAGCGGATCCCGAGGCCCAGCAGCCAAGGAAGCCATGTTGAATGACATGTCGGCATGGAGTCGTAGCGTTGGCTTGGTTGGTGTTGCTCCCAGTGAGTTGACGGTGAGTGTGAAGTCGGACATTGAGGGTGTTGTGAAGAACCTTGCGCAGAGTTTTGCTGATGGTTTGACCGCCGGTGCCATCGAAGTTGTGGATGCCCCTGTTGGTCGGCATGCTGTTGTTGCAGAGCGTGCTGTGAGGACCATCAAGGAATGTGCAAACACACTGTGTGCTGGGTTGGAACAGGTCGGCTTGGAGCCCTGCAGGAAGGGTGTCACGTATCTTTTGATGCACGTTGCCCAGGTCTACAACCGGTATCAGGTGCATCCTGGATCGGCGCTGTCCCCAGAACAGCGGTGTTTGAAGACCACCCGTGGACCGCATGCCGCATATGTTTGGGGTGCTGCTGTGCTTGCCACTCCTCCTCCCTCTTTGCGTGACAAGATCACCGGCCGTTACGGCCACGCCGCCTACCTTGGACCAGAGGTCGGAAGTGGAAGCCACATTGTGCAGTTTAGACTGCGGGATGGCACCTTGAAGATTGCGAGAAGCGCAAGAATCCGGATGCTGGTTCCTCTCACTTTTGAGGTGTCGAGCTTGAAAGGTGTTTGTCGCATGTTGCCTGGAAGAAGGGATGATGCCCAGAAGAAGCTCCCCGAGAGCAGTGGTGACAATGTGCGCGATCTCCCGTTGCCGAACACCGCAACCCGAGGACCACCACCAGAGTGGATTGAAGAAAACGGAAGAACCCCAAGATGCCGAGCTTGCCGGCTGCGCGGCTTCCCCGCGGATAAGGCCTGGCACACCCAGAAGTGCCGTGATCGATACGCCGAGTTTGTGCGGAACTCTTTCGATCCCAGCCGGGCAATCCTCGATCAAGCCCCAATTGAAGAAGAAGTGACTGGGCGTGATGATTTGGGTGCTGGGTTTGATGTTGATCTTGGGCTTGATGTGCCGGATGATCTTGATCCGTTCCCGAATTTTCCATTGGACGAGGATTTGGCCGAGTATGAGCCCAGCCTGCCTGGAGTTGAGAATAGGATTGAGGTTGGAGAAGAACTCGAGCAGATCGAGGCCCCGAGCCCGGGCGAGCTTGATTTCATGCAAGTGGAGCCTGAACCTCTTGAGGCACTCCCTGAAGAAGAGCGGGAGGCTATGGTGTCCAGCGTGATGTATCGAGAGTCCATCTCCTTTGCTGGTGCGTCGGTTTGCTTTGCCGGGGCCGCCACCAAGGCTGTTACTCCTCAGGTTGTTGAGCTTGGGGGGGAGAAGCTGTTTGTTGAAGTGCCAGCTTCTTCAAAGGATGATGTGACTGGGCACCTGCTTGATATTGGCTTGACCTATGAGGGCATGTTGCGTGAACTTCGTGCTCAAGAGTCGCTTGCTGTCGGTGATGTTGTGTGGCATGTTGATCCGAAGCAGAAGGTGATCTCTACAAGGTGGGTCTCCAATGCCAAAGTCGAGCGTGTTGAGGGAAAGGAGAATCCGCTTGTCAGGTGTCGGGTTGTTGCTCGTGATTTTGCGCAGGGAGCGACCGCGGCACAGCTTGGCATCTCTGCTGCCACAAGCTCTGCAGAAGCGCTGCGAACTTTTCTTTTCTACGCGGGTTCCAAGAGGAGGAACATCGTCGGGTTGGATGTGAGCACCGCGTTTCTCTTCGCGGACCTCGACGAAGAAGATGGCCACATTGTGGTCAGGCTGCCAGACGGAGTGAAGGGTAAGGACGGCCGCCGCGGCTACTTGCGCCTAAAGAAGGCACTATATGGTCTAAGAGTTGCAGCTCAGACTTGGTCGCGTCACCTGGCAAAGCTGCTGAAGAAGCTCTGTGACCTGGAGCCCTGCGAGACTGAAGCTTGCTTGTTTGCAGGCTCTGTGCTTGGAGGCCAGCGTGTGGTTGTTCTTTGCTACGTTGATGATCTTCTCATCACGGGAGACAGCGATGAAGCTATCTACCATGTGGTGGAGCAGCTGAAGACCGCTGTGAAGGTGAAGGTCACAGCCGATCTGGACCGCGACGGTCAGATCACCTTCCTTGGAAGACAGATTGCCCGAGAGCATTCTAGTGACTCCCTGTGTGTCACAATGTCCGATTCCTACTACGAGGAAATCTACAAGGGTTTCTTCGGGAACTCCAAGGTGACCGCGTGCGGCACACCGCCCAACCTAAAGGAGTTGTATGACAAAGAAGATCCTTGCTTGGAAAAACCCCTGTCTTCTGAAGCTGCTGCGAGGTTTCGCAGTTCCCTGGGAAGGCTGTCATGGCTTGCGATGACAAGAGTGGATGTGGTTTACTACGTGAGCATGCTGGCCCGAGGCCAGGCGAATCCACTCGAGAAGCACGAGAGAGCTATGAGGGCTATGTTGCGTTACTTGAAGTATATTCAGGGTTTTAAGCAGGTAGTGAACCCGGTTTCTGAAGAGAACCTGCGCCTTGATTGCTATGTGGACGCTTCCTGGGGTAGCGAGAAGAATGTTGACAGGTACTAATTGTCGCGAGCCTTGTTTCGGCTGCGGTTTGGGACCTGCTTACCTTACCATAGGATTTTGCAGGTGAAAAAACGACTAAAGCCGAAAATGCAGGTGAAAATCATCCAAAGTGTTTATCGAAAAACTAAAATGCGATAATTGGGGTGCCCCCCGGCGGGGTGCCATAGACTCCCCCGCCTGCCCCGGCCCACCAGACAATGCACAACCAGCAGCAAAGCACAAGACAACTGACAAAACATCATGGCATTACTGGGGCAGGGGTGGCCCAGGCCAGGGTCCAGCTAGGACAGCAACTTCCGCATAACTTCTGCATAGACCCCCTGGGTCTATGCAGATTATCGCGCATGCAGAAGTTGTGCTCTTAGTTAGTTAGCTCTTAACTTCCGCATAATTATCGCGCTTATGCAGAAGTTGCGCGATAGTTATGCAGAAGTTATGCGGAAGTTACGCGGAAGTGGCCGTCTTATGCGGCCGGGAGGACCGTTATGCAGCGACATCCGCTATAAATCGCATAAGGCCCCCCCGGGCTGCATAGGACAGCAACTTCCGCATAACTTCCGCATAACTTCTGCATAGACCGCCTGGGCCTATGCAGATTATCGCGCGGACCCAAACCCAACTTCTGCATATATGCAGAAGTTGTGCTCTTAGTTAGCTCTTAACTTCCGCATAACTTCTGCATAATTATCGCGCGTATGCAGAAGTTGCGCGATAATTATGCAGAAGTTATGCGGAAGTTATGCGGAAGTGGCCGTCTTATGCGGCCGGGAGGACCGTTATGCAGCGACATCCGCCATAAATGCCGTAATTTGCATAAACGTCCGTCACGGCCCACGGAAACCCTAGACGGTCACACGCCGGTGAACTTGCCCAGAATCTCCAACTCCAAACCTAGACCAGACCTCTGCACTAAAGCTTAAACCCTAAGCACCCAAGAGAGCACAAACCCAAACTCCCAACCCCCAAACCCTAACACTAAGCCCTAAACCTCTAAACCCGTAAATTCCCGCAAACCCAAACCCAAGTAGTGGTCGGAGTAGTAGTAGTAGTAGTAGTAGTAGTAGTAGTAGCAGTAGTAGTAGTAGTAGCAGTAGTAGTAATAATAGCAGTAGTAGTAGTAGTAGTAGTAGTAGTAGGAGTAGGAGTAGTAGTAGTAGTAGTAGTAGTAGTAGTAGTAGTAGTAGTAGTAGTAGTAAGTAGTAATAGTAGTAGTAATAGTAGTAGTAGTAGTAGTAGTAGTAGTAGTAGTAGTAGTAGTAGTAGTATTAGTAGTAGTAGTAGTAGTAGTAGCAGTAGCAGTAGCAGTAGTAGTAATAGTAGTAGTAGTAGTAGTAGTAGTAGTAGTAGTACTAGTACTAGTACTAGTATTAGTACTAGTACTAGTACTAGTACTAGTACTAGTACTAGTACTAGTACTAGTACTAGTACTAGTGTTAGTCTTAGTACTAGTATTAGTGTTAGTATTAGTATTTGTATTTGTATTAGTATTAGTATTAGTATTAGTATCAGTTTTTGTTTTTGGTATCAGTATTTGTTTTTGGTAGTCTTAGTGTTAGTGTTAGTATTAGTACTAGTATTAGTATTAGTATTAGTAGTAGTAGTAGTAGTAGTAGTAGTAGTAGTAGTAGTAGTAGTAGTAGTAGTAGTAGTAGTAGTGTTAGTATTAGTATTAGTATTAGTATTAATACTAGTATTAGTATTAGTATTAGTGTTAGTATTAGTATTAGTATTAGTATTAGTATTAGTATCAGTATCAGTATCAGTATCAGTATCAGTATTAGTATTAGTTTTAGTATCAGTATGAGTATTAGTATGAGTATTAGTATGAGTATTAGTATCAGTATTAGTATTAGTATTAGTATTAGTATTAATATTAATATTAATATTAGTATTAGTATTAGTATTAGTATTAGTATTAGTATTAATATTAGTAGTAGAAGAGCCTACTACCCAAAATCTTGAAACCTTACCCTAATCCCCAAAACCCTAAACCCTTAAACCCCAAAATCCTAAATCTCAGGCTGCTGCTGGATCTCAATGCGCAAACTCCCCCCTTCCCCCTCCGGTTATGCTGCGGGGCCCCCGGTTATACAGAAAAACTGCTTCAAAAACGAGCATGTGCGCAAAATCAAACAAAAAAAAAGCAAAACTCGTAAAGTGAATACTTTCAATGTGATTTCTGGAAGGGGTAGCTTTTTACACAGTGGATTCTCTTACATAGTGCCGAAACAAGGCTCGCGAAAATTAGTATTGACAGGAAGAGCATCAGCGGAGGGTGCGTGATGTTGGGAGGCTTCTGTTTGAAGGCCTGGAGCCGTCTGCAACAGGCTGTTGCCTTGAGTTCTGCCGAGAGCGAGCTCTATGGGCTTGTGGAGGGTGCGAAAGAGGCTCTCTCTATCCGGCGCGCCATCTCGCATGTCTTTGGGTGGGAAGATCTGCCAAAGCCCCATCTCTTCTGTGACAGCGAGGCTGCAGTTGCTATCAGCAAGGCTGATGGGCTGAGGAAGGTGAGGCACATTGACCTTAGGGCGTGCTTTATCCAAGAAGCGTCTCGGTTCAAGAGAACTCGTAGCGGTGGGCCCTCGCTTGGGTCTGGGTTTTTGTTCAGGGCACCCGGGTTTCCCCTCCTCTGTGTGGTTTCCCGGTGTTCCCTGTTCGTTCGACCCCTTGCGAGGCGTAGGGGCGGGTAGCGGGGCGGGGTAGCGGCTGATCGTGCTACCTGAGCACGCGTAGTGCCATATCTTGCAGCCACGTCATTGCTTACACCAGTGCAGCATACCAAACTGTTTGCCTGCGAACTAGTTGGCGAGGTCTGTGTTGTGAACGACAGCATTTACGCCCGGACTTTAGCTGACAACTTGTGGGCACCTCTTTCAGTGAGCAAGTTCTTTCTCGACGCATTGCAGACAGACATTGCCTCGCGGAGAGTGCCTCCAGCTGATCGCTTTCGTTGGCACAGCATACCCGGCTGTGCTTGCTGAAGCTGAGCAGGCGCTGGACTGCAGTCTTGCCTGCCACGTCCCTCACGACCCATGAGTTCAGCACGGTTGCCATTTGCCAATCTGATTTTCAGCTTGATTTTCAGCTTGATTTTCAGCTTGATTTTAGGTGCGTGCTTCTCATCTTTCAGTGTTTTGCGGATGGAGCCGAACATGAACCATGAGCATGATTTTCACCGCGTGCTATCAACGGGTGCTGCAGCGCCCTTGAACCCGCATGCACCGGAGTTCGTGCCTGCCACGTCGCAACCTCAGAGAGTTCATGCTTTGCACCCTGAAGCAGAGGTAGGAGTAGGAGCTGCAGTTGTCGCACTCAGTGCGCCTGAGCTTGTGAATGCACCTGCTTCTTCTTGCGCATTAAGAAACACATTCAGCTCGTATGCTCCTGTCTTTGTACCACAATCCCTTGCTGAACATAACCCAAATCCTGCCCAAGCGAGCCCAGCCGAACTACTGGAAACAATGAGCACACGAACCAGCCCCGGTCCCAAGTCCGGGGGCAAGCTTTGTACTTCCAACATTGCAACATCATCCGAGCTTGCAGACGCGAGGGTTGGGCTGTTGGCCGACAGCCCTGAAGCCACACAGGTTTCCATTGCAGCTTCTTCGGAGGCGAACCTAGGTCGAGATACCCCAAAAATACCGCATCGGAAAAAGAAGCTACGGAAGGCCGCCCTCGAGGCGAGCCACACAGCGATCACGATTTACAAAGGTGCTCCCCACACAGCTCGTAGTTTGCAGTCACATCGCATGCCCATTCCCGCCTCCCCCCCCCTTGCCCCTCCCCCCCGAGAACCGAATCCAAACCGAAACCTGCACAACAAACTCGTTGCCGCTTTCTCTGCTGGAATGCCAGTGGTTTGTCTGCGCTGGTGTGGGCAGAACTGCAGCACTGGCTACGCACAGCCGATCTTGACATAGTCTGCATTCAGGAGACATTCTGGAAAGAGGATCTTGAATGGGAGGATGCTAGATGGAGTTTTGTGCATCATGGCAGCGGCCTCAACAAGCAAGCAGGTTTGCTCATTTGTGTTGCTCGCAGCTTCGCTCCGCCTAGCTCTGTACGTCACACATCGATTGTGCCAGGTAGGCTGCAGCATGTGCGCATCACACCCAGTGAAGGCCATCAGCCACTTGATATTCTACATATGTATCAATTTGCATGGTGCCACAGAAAACAGGACGATCGCACCGACTGGTGGCGCGACTGTATGACGCGTCGTGCACAGTACCTTCAGAAGCTCAGCGCAGCCCTGAGAGGGATCCCTAAAAGGAACGTTCTTTGCCTGCTCGGCGATGCCAACACGCAACTGCCATCACAGCCCGGGATAGTAGGTCAAGGTATCCCCTCCACCCCTGGCCCCCAACGTGATGCTCAGGACCTCCTGGATGTGCTACAGACCTTCTCGTTGACGGCAGTCAACACTTACGGCGAGGCCCCTGGAGGCACCTTCTGCAATTCTGCCACCGCTCATGTATCGCAGATAGATTTTGTCTTCTTGCGCAGTGCACATAGTGACGGGATCAGTAAACTCACACGGCCCCTCCAGGAGTGGCCTGTTGCACAGACCCGACAAGGCATGAATCACATACCACTCCAGGGTAGCATGCAGCTTCGCTGGTGCCCGTGGAGTGCCGCACGCGCATCACAGGCATCACACCTGCGGCCCAGACGGATCTGGGATGATGTGCAGGCCAACCCGGCCCTCTTGGAAGAGTTTCGCCTAGAACTGTCGAGGCTGCTACCTGCAAGCCCCAGCATTGCAGATATGGACCGATGCTTGAAGAAGGCCTGGACAAACTGTGCCCCCAACACGGCACCGATGCCACGATCACAGCAGCCACCCGATCAGGTCCCAAGCCTTTGGAGGCTACGGGCCGAGAGGACGCAGCTTTCAAGACGTGCCAGTGCATTGCATCCTCTGCCACCGGCTCGGCTGATATGGCAATTATGGAGCACTACTGCAAAGATACTTCGTATGGAACGAGAGGTCGCACAACAAAAGCGAGCAAAGCGTCGCAGTTTCCTTTTGGAACAGACGGACATTGCTGAGAAGGCCGCGCAGCAGGGTCGCATCACAACGGTTTATCGGGTTGTTAGGACTCTTGCCCCTAAGCAGCCCAAACCCAGGTTACAGATACGTGACTCGGCAGGTCATCTCCAGGGTCCCGCAGCCGAATGCCGGTCACTCTTAGCTCACTTTCGGGAGACATACCAAGCACCGCTTGCACAACCCTCGCGTGCATCACCCTGCCAGGTCTCACTGCTCGATTCAGAATCCTGTGTTACGGCCTTGGCTGCCCTCCCTGCACTCAAGGCGGTACACCCCACTGCCGCCCCAGGTGCCCTTTGGAAGTACGGAGCCGCGATTCTGGGCGCTCCTCTGAGTGACTGCCTGAACCAAGCCTTCGCATTGCTTCCGCGAACGCTGCCTTTGGAGATCCGCCAGGTTGCGTTGTTCTTGATGCCCAAACCGGGCAAGAAGGCCCAACAACCGGGTGATGTTAGGCCTATCAGCTTGCTACACCCGGCCAACAAGGCCCATGCCCGTGTGCTCACACATCAGCTCGGCACTTATCTTCAGCAGTATGTCTGGGACATACCGCAGTTCGCATACTGTCAAGGTCGCTCCACTACGGAGGCTTTGCATCGAGTTGCTTCGCATTTTCACGCATGCCGTGCTAGAGCACCGGCTCGGGCCACCATGGTCCAAAGACGTCGAGATGGAGTCTCTCGAGCGCCATGCGTCGGGGGCCTCACATTCTCCCTAGACATTGCTCAAGCATTTGATGCTCTCCCCAGGTGGGTGATTCTGGCTGGACTTCGGGAGGCTCAGGTACCCCAATCTCTGATTGATCATATCTTGGGGATACACGCACAAATCCTGATAGAAATCACGCATCATGGATGCCAGGCCCAATGTGGCACTGCCCGAGGGATAAGGCAGGGATGCCCACTCAGCCCAGCGCTCTGGGCTATCGCATCTACATACGTTTTCCGCAGGATCCGTGAAAGCCTTGGTCCCAACGCCACCGACATCATCACGATCTTCGCCGACGACGTGATTGCTCAATGGGACATTGCCAACGGTGCTGATCTAAAGGACTGCCTCCAGCAGCTCGCTCGACTTGTTCACATCTTGCGTGCACATGGTTTGCAAGTTAGTGCGCAAAAGAGTGTCATTCTTTATCAGCTTCACGGCCCGCTAGCTCAACGGATCCTCGGACCCATCCGCTTCAAGGACAAGGGGGTTGCACACCTTCGTGTGGATACTGAGCTTGCCTTCCCTGTCGTGCGGCAGCACAAATACCTTGGCATCATGCTCAGTTACTCTGCATTTGAGCGTCATTCCGTCGACTATCGTTGTCGTCGAGCCGGCACTGTGTTTTCCAGGTTGCGCCCGGTACTCAGAGCTCGACACCTTCTCAGCCAGAAGACTCGCATCAGGCTCTGGTTTGCAATTGTGTGGCCATCGCTCAAATACGGCATCACCTCATTGCAGCTTGAACCGACGGAGGTCCAGAAAATTGTCGGAGTTGCCGCGCGACACCTTCGCATCCTTACACATCAGCTAGGCCATGAAACACACATCCCCAATCAACAGCTTTTTGCACAACTGCAATTTGACCCGATACAGCGACTGCTGAAAGAGGCCCATGGCAATCAGGAGCGATTTCAAGCTCTCCCGGGAGAGCTGCAGCCCCAAAGGGTTGCACAATGGCATGGCTTTGTGACTGCGAGTCTTCAGGGCTCAATGCCAATGGAGGCCGTCACGGCTACGGCCTCTGCTCCTGACGCAGCTGTTTCAAACCCTGATACACAGGTACCGCACAGAGCCGAACCTTGCTCCAGAGCTCACTTCTTGCAACGAGGTGCCCAGGCTCACACAGTACAGCAGAATGTACACCTTCAGGAGATCACCTTGGTTGAAAAGCCGAGGCACGCATGCCCGGAATGCGGCATCACCTTTGCCACCTCAGGTGTCTTACATACCCATCGTGTGAAACAACATGGTGTTGTGGCTCGTGCCACTTTGCGCGCGGAGGCCAGGATGAACAACCAAGTGCAGCATTCTAAAGGCGGCGTGCCGACCTGCAAACATTGTCATGCTGAGTTCAATGGCTGGCGAAATTTTAATTTACATATCCTCTTGGGGAACTGCCCTGTTCTGCATACAGGCTCGGGCGCTCGGCTCCGAAACGGGAACGCTTTCTGTCACCCTTCTGCTGACGCAGTTCCGCCCTCGCCCCAAGCAGGTTCCCATCTGCTAGGACATTCGTGTCGGGATGGGGTATCGCAGCCTGAGGTCTCAGCCTCTTCATCACAGGTGACGTTGGTACCACCGGTACCACCGGTGCCTCCGGCACCGCAGGTACCGCCTTCTGAGTTTGTGCCGAAACTGGTTGACGAACCAGCTGTGGCCCACCTCACAGCTGTGCAAAAACGTGGCTGGAAGGCTTTTGCTGCTGTGCCTGCCTTGCACATCCGGATGCGCAATCACTGCCCTGAATGCAATCTTTGGGCGAACGACCCCTCTAGAATCAAGGTTCATATGCGAGCCAAACACCCCGCCCTCAAGCCTCGGCTGGAGCAGACAGAGCAGGTAGCTAAAAGCGTTTCTGTAGGGCGCCCGTGCCGCTTCTGCCAACAGGACTACAACTGTGCTCCTAGTAGACACGCTGTTGGCTGCCCAGTTCTTTGGCAATCAATCTTTGCAAGCCTTGACCCGCTGCATACAGGACCAGATGACTCTCCCACCGACGGCAGAGCAACAAGACGAGATGGAGTGGGACATGTATCATCAGTTCATGAAAGCTTCGCCGGAGGCCAAGAAGGCACTGCTGGAGAATCGGCCGTCGGCCGTCCAGGAACAGCCTGCCAAGCACCGAAAAGGCGACAAGGGGAACAAAGGAAAGGGAAAGGGAGGAAACAAGGGCAAACCACAGTCTCAGCAGGTGGACCAAGCGGAGCTGAGTGCACTTCGTCTGATCTGCAACATGCTGATCCGCCTAGCGATCAGACACGAAGATATGTTGAAGACGCTGCAGCTGGACACATCCTTCGTCATCTGGCTTCGCACCGGCCTCCCCATGGGGATCCCGGAAGGACTCTTCCAGGTTGCGGAGAAGTGGCGAGCGGACAAAGCGGTGAAGCAGCATACGACTTCCCTGCGCCAGGTTCTTTGGATGTGTGTATGGAAAGAGTTTCAACAGCGCCTCCAGCCTGCTCGCCTCACCGCCGAGATCCAAAGCACCATGACCAAGCTGGGCTATCTCAAAGACGGCCGGTGGATGTTCTTGAAATGGGCACCCGAGGAGAATCGGCTCATCCCAGACACGACTCGCGAGGGCCTCACCCTAACCGATGCACTAGAGTTAATCAACAGCATCGTGAGGCTTTCGGAAGATGTGACCATCTTGACGAAGTTTGCACCGACCAGACCCCTCGCAGCGGAACTCAGAGGACCATCGCTGACGTTCTTGGCGTCCGTCGCCAACCGAACGAACCCATCGGACCAATTGTTCGCCAGCCTCACCTCGCTGTGCGGGAACGGCTGTTGTCAGGTTGTGGGGATGTCGATCAAACCGGAGAAACTCACCAGATCGTCTCTTGCACAGCAGCTACTGAAGCATCTGCCGGCAACGAGCTCCACAGAGAACGAGTGAGTCGAGGACCTGAGCCCCCTCCGGAGGCGGCCTCGTCCAGCAAGCATCCTATATCAGCTGATCACGTTGCTAGGCCCCCCAATCCCTCTCCTGACACGCGCCGCATCGTGCAGGTGACATGTGACCATATCCTCAAGGCCAGATTGCAGAACAGGTCCAATGTTTGCTACTCCAACGCCACTGCGATGAGCTTGCTTTGGACCTCCAGGTTTTGCGAACAGGATCTGATACCTCGTGCACTGCTGTCATCGCTCGAGGCCTTGCTTCAGAAACACAAACCATTTCAGCTGTGGGACGTACTACCGTACAAGCAACTACTTCGCAATTGGCCTAGGCCAGGACAGCAGCATTGCGCTGCTGAATTCCTCAAACACTACCAGGCCAATTCAGAAATGAGCGGACTCTATGGAGTCTGGCAAGCCAGAACTGATTCTGGCGAGGTGCGCTTTGTGGGAGACACCTGTCCTTTGCCTATGGCTGTGCCCCTAGCTGCAGGCGACACCATCCAAACCATCATTGACCGCTGGACTGCGCAAACCGAGGTACATGCGCTATGGTACCCGCCTGCCTGCATTGCGTTGCAACTCTCGAGGTATGATGTTGGTAAGGTCCTCACCCCCATTGCCCTAGGCCCTGAAAGACGTATCCTTATCCCGACCTTTGTGGCAGCCGATGCGCACACCCAGAGAGTTGCTTATGTCCTGAGGGCAGCGGTAGTGCACCTCGGTGCGATCCCCACTTCGGGCCACTACCGGGCCGCGCTGTTTCAAGATGCCAGGGTTATGTACACGGATGACAATAAGGTTTCGGTTTTGGCTAATGCGAGTCATTTAGCTGAGATTTCGGCCAACTGTTACGTCCTGTACCTGACTAGAGAGTGATCGGCAGCACTGCGCATCTTGAAGGGCTTGTGGTCCCTTCGTGGTGCCCTTCCCTTACCAAGCTGTGTGAAGAGCCCTTTCTTTCTGCGAACTTCGACTCCGCACGTTTTAGGCACTACAGTTGGCCTGTTTTGCAGCCGGTTTGGCAGTAATGGCCGTCTTGAACATAGTAGTTGCAGTTTTTCGTCACTCTTCACAGAGTCTGGCACTACACTGCATGCGGTTGTGGGCACCGCCGTGCTCTGTTGCGCACGCACAGCCTGCTGACCGAAACTACTGCCAACAAGACGCCGCTGCTCTCAGCTTAGTTTGCTGAAGTGAGTCAGCAGGCAGCGAGCCTCTGGGTCACCAGTCACGGTTACTTGTGGTACGCTGTGCTTTTCTGCAGTCCTACTTTTCTTGCACCTCTGCCACAGCTACTGCCGCGAGTAGAAGCCGTAGACTGCAGTTTTGTGAGCCCACCGTAGTGCCGGGGCAAAGCTTAGCGTTGCACCGAAGCTTCGTAGTTGCATCTCGTAGTTCCGTAGTCTGTAGCTTCTTGTGTGTTCGCCACAGTGCAAACACACACTCCGAGGAGACTCCTGTGACAACACGTGGAGTTTCCCTAGTCTCTCCTGCGGTGGCACAACTGTTGTCATCGAGGGGTTCGCCAAGGACTCTCTGGAGCCCAGCGTGTCAAAGCAAAAAGCTTTATCCAAGACCAGCTCAAGCAAAAGCAGATTTTTATCTTTGGCGTGCGTGGTGAAGCCAATGTTGCGGATTTGTTCACCAAACCTTTGAGTTGGACTGTTACCTTGAAGCACATGTGGGGACTTGGCTTGCGTGACGTTGCCGTTGTTGCTTGTGCGCTTGATGGCTTTGTTGCGTTATGCGGTGCAATGCTTGTTGGTAAGAACCATGTTAGCTTGCGTGACCGTTTTGCCGCCATACCGCATGCCTCTTGGTTGGTGATTGAGTTCTGTGCCCCCGTTGAATCATCGATGAGAGCGGCTAGCCAGGACTTGAACTGGGTGAATGTGCTTACTGTGAGTGAGCGTGATGATGGTGCCAGTGCACAGACCTTGCTTGAGCTCAAAGCCATCTTTGCTGCGCAGATCAAGAAGAAGGGTTTTGTCTTCTTGTGGGCCAGTACCCCGTGCACCGGAGGCTGCCCATATCAGAGGCTGCGTGCCCGTGATCCAGCTTATCGCCGAGGGCGGTTGGCTCAGCACTGGAGGCTGCACCGAAAGCTCTGGAGAAGCTTGGTCGAGCTTACTAGCTTTGTGCATGCTTGGGCCATTGAGTGGCCACGTGCTTGTGCTTACTGGTCTTGGCGCCAGACTGAGCATTTTCTTTCTTCACGCCCCTACGTTTTGCACGACGTTCCAGTTGATGGTTGTGCGCTTGACATGCGAGGCCGCGATCATCTTCTTATCGCCAAGCGGTGGCGTGTTGTTACCACACACCCAGCAGTTGCTGAGAGCATTCGTGTCTATCGTTGCTCTGGGAAGCATGAGCACTCGAAGGACTTCGACCTCAAGAGTACACAGCACTACCCGGTAGAGCTTGTAAAGTCCTTCTTTGAAGCGTTGCGCCCTTGACTTTTTACGAGAGTCTTGTCGTTGTCGAGGACATGTTGTTGCATGTTTGCTGCGCAGCCCGTTTGCTCAAACTTTCCGGTGTTTTCTTTCTTTGCCAGGACGTTTAAGATGTCTCTGGTTCCTTTCGCTGCCGAGCGTGCCATGGTGTTTGGCCTGGTTGTGGAAGTGCAAGAGAAGCTTCTCGAAGTACCGAGTGTCGGGCTTCTCGCTGTTGTGCTTGTCCCACTGCTTGTGGGTGTTGCGCTTGGAGTGTGCTTGCAGAAGCTGCGTACCGAGAGCTCCCGCGTCAAGACTGTGCAGGACCTTCTTTCGTTTCTGCCAAGGTCAGGCCAGAAGATGGCTGTCTTTACTTCTGCTTACGAAGACTGTTTCCACGTGCGTAGGGACTGCCACGGCCTCAGGAACGCGATTCCGAATCGCATCGCTGCTAAAGTGGCGTGCGAGTACTGTTTAAGGGATCTCCACCTGGTACCTCCGACAGCTACTGCGTCGTGGGGGGGTGTAGAAAACCAGTGCTCTGCCCAGTAGTGTTTAGGTGCGACACAGAGTTTTCCTCGGTACCTGTATAGTTGTATAGTTTTGCTAGTTTCAGGTGGTCAGTGCCTGTAGAACGTAGTTTGAGCTTGCGTGACGGTTTTGCGGTAGCCTCAACCTGTTTTCCCTTGTTTTGTAGTGCTTGGGAGCTTTTAAGAGGTGCCACGACTACTGTCGTTTGGCTCAAGACACGTGAGACCAGCAGTGAGCTGTGCGTGCTAAAAGTGTGAACTGTCCGAGTGTTTTGTGAGCTTGCTTTGCTTGCAAGGGTGCTTGGAACTTGTTTGCCTTAAACCTGAAGAGCTGTTCGCCTTCTAGGTTTTTAACGCATTCAGCAACTGCCATCAAAGCTATCAGGTGGGTCAAGCGTACCTTTGAAGTCGCATGCTTTGAAGTCGCGTATTCACCCTTGATTGCCAGTTTCTTGAAATCCAAGATTCCTCGTGAACGTAAGGAGGCTGTGCCTTTGTCTCTTATGTCGTTACACAGTTTGAGCGACGCTTGCTGATGCAAGAAGCCACGGACTCAGAGGTTCTTATCCTTGGGGGGTTTTTGGTTCTTATTTGGAGCTCTCTTCGGTTTATGGACGGACAAAGAGTTCACTGGCGATCCTTGTCCTATGACGGCTCACATTGCGGGGCTCGTGCTACCAAACTAAAACAACATCGCAAGGTCAACCATTTGGGGTCATTTGCCAAGGATTACTGAGTCATAGATTCATAGATCCTTCAACATAGGTTTTTGGGGGGGTGTTCGAACCCAAGGTTTGGAACTTAGAGTTCCGAACCTAGGGTTCTGGAACTCCGAACTAAGAGTTTGGAGCCTCGAACGAAGGGTTCAAACATCGAAGTTCCCTCCGAACCCTGCGTTCGAACTTTGAGTTGAACTCCAAGTTGAACTCAACTCTGAACTTCTTGAACTGGAGTTGAACCTGGAGTTGAACTCTGAAAGGCGAAGAGTTTGAACCCAGGGTTTGAACACAAGAGTTTTCGAACCCAGTCGGAGTTGAAACCCAGGTCTCGAACATAGAGTTTCCGAACCCAGAGTTCGAACATGGAGTTTCCGAACCCAGAGTTCGAACTCTTGTATCATTGCTTCTTGTTCTCTCATTTTATTTTTTCGCAAAAACCCCCATTAGCGATTTCGTGTGTCTTCTTCTTTTTTTGCTTGTGCTTGCAGTTGAGTTTGTGGTTTCTGTCATTGTAGTGGGTTCTCAGTAATTTTATTTGCAAAACCCCCACAAAGCGATTCTGTGTGGCTTCTTCTCCTTTTGTTTGGTGATTGTTGGTGTTCGAACCCCGTTCGAACTCTGGGGGGGAGTCTAGAACCCGGTTCATTTGTTCGCGCCTTTAGCATTCTCGTAGGAGACTTCATGTCCTTCTGAAGCCCCCTTGAGAAGAAAGACAATCTTTTTCTTTGTTTTGTCTTTCTTTTATTTCTTCGCCAAAACCCCCCATAAAGTGGTTTCGTGTGGCTTCTTCTTCTTTTGTGGCAGGGACTGGTCCTTGGCAGTCTTTTTCAACTCCTCCTCCTTGACAATCTTTTTCTTTGCTTTGTCTTTCTTATATTTCTTCGCAAAAACCACCCATAAAGCGGTTTCGTGTGGCTTCTTCTTCTTTTGTGGCAGGGACTGGTCATTGGCAGTCTTTTTCTTTGTTTTCGGCAAGCTTCTAAAAACAGCGGGGGGGTTGGGGGGGGCGCAGCCCCCCCAAACGTGGAGTTCCGGAACCCAGGGTTCGAACGCCCCAGGGGGGGGACGAATTCCAGATTTTATTTTTTCGCACAAACCCCCATTAGCGATTTCGTGTGTCTTCTTCTTCTTTTGCTTGTGCTTGCAGTTGAGTTTGTGGTTTCTGTCATTGTAGTGTGTTCTCAGTAATTTTATTTGCAAAACCCCCCGCAAAGCGATTCTGTGTGGCTTCTTCTCCTTTTGTTTGGTGATTGTTGGTGTTCGAACCCCGTTCGAACTCTGGGGGGGAGTCTAGACCCGGTTCATTTGTTCGCGCCTTTAGCATTCTCGTAGGAGACTGCATGTCCTTCTGAAGCCCCCTTGAGAAGAAAGACTCCTCGTCATTGACAATCTTTTTCTTTGTTTTGTCTTTCTTTTATTTCTTCGCCAAAACCCCCCATAAAGTGGTTTCGTGTGGCTTCTTCTTCTTTTGTGGCAGGGTCTTTTTCTTTGTTTTGTCTTTCTTATATTTCTTCGCAAAAACCACCCATAAAGCGGTTTCGTGTGGCTTCTTCTTCTTTTGTGGCAGGGACTGGTCATTGGCAGTCTTTTTCTTTGTTTTTCGGCAAGCTTCTAAAAACAGCGGGGGGGTTGGGGGGGGCGCAGCCACCCCAAACGTGGAGTTCCGGAACCCAGGGTTCGAACGCCCCAGGAGGGGACGAATTCCAGAACCCGAGGTTCCAACATAGAGTTCCCCAAACCTCGGGTTCCAACATAGAGTTCCCGAACCCAGGGTTCGAACTCGCTGGGGGACGGGGGGGGGTTCCGGAACCCGGGGTTCCGGTATAGAGTTCCCCAAACCCCAGGTTCGAACATAGAGTTCCGAACACAGGGTTCGGACTCTCTGGGAAGGGGGGAGGAGTTCCCGAACCCGGGGTTCGAACGTGGAGTTCTCCAAACCCCGGGTTCGAACATAGAGTTCCCGAACCCAGGGTTCGAACATAGAGTTCCCGAACCCCGGGTTCGAACATAGAGTTCCCGAACCCAAGGTTTGAACATAGAGTTCAAACTCCAGGTTCAACCTGGGTTCGAGAAGTTCGAACCCAGGGTTCAACCCTGAGTTCCGGAGTTATATGTTCTCCCCCCCCCCGGGCCCCCCGGGAATTCGAACCCTGGGTTCCGGAACACTCCAAAAACCTATGCTCTGGATCCTTTACCTGGGTGCATAGATTTCTTAGGACGTTGGACAAAGTAGCATGCATACACAGCAGCCTTCATCCGGATCATCCTTTGCCTTCGAGCCTCCTGCTCTCGATTGGAGCCTCAGGGGGTACCGTGTACCCCTTGCAGGCTATGGGGTACGCTGCTGCACTTAGGCATCTTCGCTATGCTATCTCCCTCCCTTGGAAAAAGCATAAGGTCCCCGTCCCTCATGAAGTCCAATTCAACTATACAGTGCACTCCCTGAAAACCACCCTTTTATCTTGGATGGGTCAGCGACCTGAGGTCCAACAACTTGAGAAACAATGCCAGGGTCATCACAGGCTCAGCTCGTCTCAACTTTATTCGCGTGAAGACATCATTCCGGCTCTGAGAGGCCAACTGAAACTGAGATACGCCATAGCAGGCGGCGCTCGGTTTATGACCCCGCTTCATCGGGGTTCTCAGCACCCTCTGGACGAGCCACCAGTTCAGATTGAATCGTTCAGCAAGGCAGCAGAATCCACTCCATTCGAGCATTTGCCTCAGTTCGTTATGAAGGAGGGATTACATCTGCCTGAGTTCGAAAAAACGTCGGAGATACCTGAGCCAATCGTCCCGGCCCCCCTGTGGGATGTTCAGTCATCTGATGAGGAATCACTTGACAGCAGCGGCGACGAAACGCCCAATCTCCCCGATTTAGGGGATCCTGAGGAGTTGGTGCTCGCATCTTGCACAGGCGTGCACCATGCTATGGTTCCTGCCTCAAGGACATCTGGGATTACCTTTCAATGTAAAAGCCTGCGCCCAGCTTGTGGCATTCGCTTGTATACAGACAATATCAATTGGTGCGAGCAGTATTCTCCAGAGATCACCTTGTGCAAAAGACGCGCATGTTGCATAATCCTTGGTCGCTGTGGGATTTCGGACTCGTGAGTATCAGGAAAACAGAAGTCCGGAGCTCACTGCAGTTGGCCGCTGGTGCAGTCTCAGCCGTCATGTGCACATGTTCTGCTAGGTGACATCTGTTCAACGCCGACATGCATAGCAAACTCCTTGTTGGCCCCTGGGCAGTTGCTCAAACGATCTGTATGTTCTATGAATTGTTCAGTTCTCTTCGGGTCTTTATGGGAATCCAGTTTTGTTGGGCTCCACTTGCCGCAACTACATTAGGTTCGCTATAAGGGTTCGCCAGGGTCGGTTTGAGGGCTTATGCGCACCCGAGCATGATTTTTGTTGGTTTTTGGGCACACTGTAGACCCAAGTCCCTATAAAATCAGGTTTTTATATAAGGACGGGTAAGCAGTGGTTTTGAGCGATTTAGAGTCATTTTGTCGGGGTAAGGACCCGCTTGATTTTCGGGTTTAACCGACCCGGCGAACCATCAGATCATCATAAGGTTCGCCACTTGGTTATTAGAAGTAGCCCCTGCCATGGAACTGGCTGAGCTGCTGAAATCGGAAGGCCTCTCTCCCGAGCTGGCCGATCTAGCTGTTGCAAGCGGTTGGAAGTCATCCACTTTCAAGCATGCTGTCAGCAAACTGGAGGATCTAGATTCTGTATTGGGCGAAATCTTTCCGGAGAAAGTGCTGACAGCTCTTCAGAAGGCCACTATCCGTTCGGTTTGGAGTAATTTGCAGGAGTCCGGGGCTTCGGGCTTACCAGCATCTGCACACCCTCCCGCCATGGAGTCTCGGGAAGGATCATGGGTGGAATCTTTTGCCCCAAAGATATCAGCATCTTCGATTTCTGAGATGAAACGGAAGTATCTGGTGAACTACCCGTCGGAGATCATTAACTACTCCACCCAGCCGTCAACCAGATTGTTAAGCCTAGCCTCGCACCAGCAGAACAAAAAGGATTGGCGATGGATCCCCTGGAAGTACAGAATGACGGAAGAACGAGCTTCAGAGATTATGATGGCTCGGCCCAACAAGCAACCACGGCTCGAGGCTATCGGGCTTTCTGGGATGTTACTGGACGAACCTCCTGCACTTGAAATCCAGGATCATTCCATGGGGGTGAATGCTATTCAGAAGCTTATGAATGTGCACGACGTGGCTTTGGCGATGGTTGGGACTGCCCATCTCGCTAGGCTGAAAGGCTACACGACCAAGTTCATTTC